GCAAGAGCAAATCTAATTTGCTACTTCTGTGTAGAAAGTTTTATCCTCTTGTATTTAATTTATTCAAATAAGGCGTATCTTTGCTCATCCAACAAGGGGCTATCTCTGACCCTCTCTCAAGCCAGAAACCCCTGCCGTGTTTACGGCCTTTCACAGATGAGTGTGAAAAGCTACAACTTCTACTGTATTGTTTTCCCACAGACAAAAGGCAGTTCAAACGATCCTAGCAAACCATCTGCTGGAACTACAGGTAACATAAAGGTCAAAGAGCCAGAATACATTACTAATTTCAAAACCACAATTAGGCCATTTGAATAAAGACATGTTAAGTTTTAAAACTAGCTTATTTTAAATTTATTTTCTTAACACCATCTGAAATAAATCGCTGTCTTATGACAGTCGACTTGGAGCAAAAGCATTTATTTACCAAATGACTTTGTCGTCCTTCTTAAACAGAACCATTTTGTATGTGATGATGTCGCCGCCACCTGGCATTTGCTGCTGTTTCTGGATACATGAGCTGCTGTGAAAGCCACAGAATTGGGAGGATAGAGCTGACTGAGCAGCCAACATGGCAACCCTGACTGGTATATTTTGTAATTTTGCAGTAGTTATGGGTATTATTGACAGACAAATTTACTTTCTGTGGCATCTTTGTGTTTAGAGATCTCAATATATTAGTTAATCATTTTTATTTATGCATGATAATAAGTCCATCTGTCTGTCTGTCCATCCATCCATCCATCCATCCATCTTCTTCCACTTATCCGAGGTCGGGTCATGGGGGTAGCAGCCTAAGCAGGGAGGCCCAGACTTCCCTCAGCCACTTATTCCAGTTTCTCCAGGGAATCCCAAGGCGTTCCCAGGCCAGCAGAGGAACATGGACCCTCCAGAGTGTTCTGGGTCTTCCTCCCCCTGATGGGAGGTACCCAGAACACTTCACCAGGGAGGCATTCAGGAGGCATCCTGACCAGATGCCCAAGCCACCTCAACTGGTTCCTCTTGATGTGTAGGAGCAGCAGTTCTACTCTGAGTCCCTCCCAGATGACTGAGCTTCTCATCCTATCTCTAAGGGAGAGCCCAGCCACCCTGCGGAGGAAACCCATTTCGGCCGCTTGTATCCGGGACCTCGTTCTTTCGATCATGACCCAAAGCTCATGACCATAGATGAGGGTAGGAACATAGATCGATGTAGATTTGGTGTCATCTTCACTCAGCTTTTGAAAACCCCTTCTTACTTAGTGATATGTTTAATATCTTGCAGCATTTGCAATCATAGCCATGAGCACAGCAGTGGAGAGAAAGATATGGTGTTTGAAAACCCCTTATATCACACAAAAGTTATTTAGTGATATCTGTAATATCTTCTAGAGTTTGCAATCATAGCAATGGGCACAACAATGGAGAGAAAGACGGCTAACGATGTCAGGACGGTCGCCACAATGTTGAGAACCCGAGCAGTGGAGGCGTGACGTTTGGCTCCATCCAGATCTCCAACCAGCTTCCTGTCTCTGGCCTGAAAGCAGAAAAAAATATGTTTTTCGATTCATATGGAAAACATCTGGTTCTCCCTTATTGCCTGGTGTAACTTTGGGACTTTTATCTTTGATTTACCAAAGCGCATGTTGAGTTATTAACTTTTTATTTATTTTACAAAAACAGACACTTTTTCAAAGTAAAAATTAGAAAGTTTAAAGGCTTTTCTAGACATTTTTAGCCTTTTGGAGTCTTAAGCTAGACTCAGAGTTTCAGTAGAAAAGCCATCCATACGATTGAACTACCTTGATATTTGAGTTTTGTGAAATCACACTGTGATTTAAATCTTTTTGTCTTTAAACCTTAATTATCCAGATTTTTCTAATTAGTCTCCAGATTTCTCCAAACTGCATAAAAGTCATTTACCAAAAGAGGAATCAGAAGCATGATTTCTCTCCTTTTTCAAGCAATCAGAAAATGTTGACATTTCAGACAATGACTGAGAAACTATTAGCATAAACTCACCTTGACAGAGTAAATGAGAGCCGCCAATCCAAGACAGAAAATATTTCCATAGATTAAGTTCCACAGCGACCAGACCAGATAATCTCTTGTGGGCTCAGTGGGGACGTTCACTACGGTGTGCTGAACTACTGTGGGACCTCCAGACTGTCCAGGGGACACTTCATGTCTCCTGTCCTGCAGTGTGAAGGTCTCAGCAGGGTAAGATGTGTAAGCTACAGTGGTGTAACAAGGATCCATGGCCCTCAGCTCGGCAGCAGGTGGAGGACGATCTGAAGAGTCTGAAGAACTGGCACGCTATAGAGAGTGGATGTGCTTTTTTTGATGCTTGTGGTTTGATAATGATCTATTCATCACCTACCAACAAGGTTACATTTATAAAACCTGCAGTGCTTTCATTTCTACTAGTTTTGTCAAGTTTAGAGGTTCAGAATTTTTAGCTCCTAAAATAAATTGCCTGTGCACGCACAAGACATTTAAAGGCAAATTGAGATTTAATTAAACCTGTTTGGTCTGAAAGCAGCAAAAATATTCATGAAAAGAAGAAGAAACCCAAGTTTACTTTTAAGAGAAGAAGTTTAAAATCCTTTTCTGCTAAAAACGGATTTCTATGCAGTCGGGACAGTTTTGAATGCAATTTCATTATTGCTCTTCCATCAAATATTCAGTATGTTCTGAAAAACAGCTACACTTTACACATGTAAACAAAAAAATGGACAAAAATGTGTTTTACTTTGATTTATACACCATGTTCCAAATTATTATGCAAGTGATATTTTCTCAGATTTTCCTTAATGGTCAATCCAAATGATGGTCAGTCTAATTTTCAAGTCATGAACCGTTACAGTATAAATCTGTGGGGATTTGAGTTTTCTCTGTTTATTCTTGGTTCCTTTTCTTGTGAGTCTCTGTGCTGTCCTGTCTTCCCCTTGATTGTTCCCAGCTGTGTCTAGTATCCCTGATTACTCCCAGTGTATTTAAGTTCACCTGTTGTCTCTTGTCGAGTCCTTGTCGTACGTCATTTGTCGTCGTACTATTGTTTAGCTGTCAGTCATCTCAGTTGAACTGTCAAGTACTGAGACGACGTCGCTCTCGTTTGGTCAGTCCTGTAATTGTTGCTACCGGTGCTGAGCTTTAGCTTTTCGCTCTGCCGTGCTGCCAGCTTCCTGGACTGTGTTTGAGCAGTTTATCCTCATTAAATCACCATTATCTTCTACAACCTGGGTCTGCTGGCGTTCTCCCTCACCACCAACACTTGATGACAAAAACAAATTTTACTTAACAAACCTCCCAATGAGAACAGTTTTTTTCTCAAAAATAAACTCATAATTCACTGTTCCAAATTATTATGCACCGCAGATTTTCAAAACATTTTATGGATTATAAAAAACTGCAAACAGCCTTTCTCCAAATGTCCAGCATTAAATGGTCACATTTACTAAAATTAAAATATTTCAATCAAAAACATCTTAACAGACCTTCTTTGGCATCACCTGCACAATTCTTGCATCCATTGAACTTGAGTTTGTGGATAGTTTCTGCTTGAATGTCTTTGCAGGATGTCAGGATACCTTCCCAGAAAATAAACTCTTACTGAAATAAAAAACAAAGCAGCAATTACTACACTATAAAAGATATACTGAACTATTTACAGCAAATAAATACCAAGTGATAAACTATCAGACTATTTTTTAAAACACAGGGAGGTGAGCCAAGCTCACTCATCGAGCCAAGAAAGTCCCATGGCTTCGCCCCCAAACGACCACTCCCTCACACGTAGTCTATGCAGAGCTCCTCTCCTCTTATGTCTTTCGTTGCTCTTATTGGCTCAGCCAGCCAGAACTGCAAACTTTGCCAGTACACCTTTCACATTAAAGTCCTTGGCAGAATGATTTATTATTCTCCCAAAGGTGGCCATCTGTGGATGACATTGGCAAGGGTGAATCTGTGAATCGATGCACAGGTCCTGGTCTCCAGACTTAAAAAAGAAAATATACGATTCCTCTCCCTCCTTCAGGGATTCCACCAACCACCGGCCCTCGGAGGCGTTGGCAACCTGACCGTGGTAGTCGCGCACAGGATGGAGCCCTTTGGGAAATGCCCTGCTCGCAAAGAGCCCTGTGGAGGAGAAACCCAATTGAATTAATCCATTTATTACTTTATTAATTTATAATAATAAGTATCATCTTAATTATTACAAAAGTGTCAGTTTCCAGATCCAGGAAACAGCAGGTACCATCAACCGACCTTTGCCTGCGCCTGGCTCCTTGCTGTCAGAAATCACAAGTCTGGTCCAACTCTGGCACTGGATGTGGTGAACGAGTTCCTGGTCATCTTCCGGGGTGCCGATGGATGGTGGTCTCCAGCCCTGTAGCACCTGCTCAGCAGAGACGCAGTTCTCGGTCCAGTTTGACTTTTTAATGAAGCTCTGCACCTTGGCCAGGGTTGGTTTTCACCTGCCTCTCTTCTTTTTACAAGGCGCTGCACCGTCTAGTTCAGGGGAGGGCAATCCTGGTCCTGGAGGGCCGGTGTCCTGCGACTCTAAGATGTCTCCCTGATCCAACACACTTGAATCCAACAGCTGAATCACCTCCTAAGTGCAGTCAGGTTCTCCAAAGTCCTGCTAACGACCTCATTATTTGACTCAGGTGTGTCGAAGTAGAGACACATCTAAAGGTTGCTGGAGACCGGCTCTCGAAGCCTGGAGTTGCCCACCCCTTAGCTTGAGGAGCTCCGCAGTTCAAAACCTTTTTTTTTTTTGTTCTTACCTGCAGTACTCGCTCTGACCCAGTTGGTCAACAGTCCACTACCTTTGGCTGCTCCTGGCAGATCCTTTCATTTTTGTTTCTGACGTCTTTCTTTGGGTGGCATCTTTGAACTGAAAAAAGCAAAACATAATGAATTATAATCAGAACACTATATTAAACCCTGGTGTTTAAACTAATATGTTTTTCAGTCCATCGCACAACATAATATTACTTAAAGTCTGGATTGAGTTTTCAACACAAAAGTAAAAATCAGATTGAGGATTGAGCTGACTGAGCAGCCAACATGGCAACCCAGATTGGCATGTGTTCTAATTTGTACAAGTTATGGGTTTTATTTACAGACAAATTTACTTTCTATGGCATCTTTATGTTTAGAGACGTCAATATGTGAGCTAATCATTTTTATTGATGCATGCTAATAAGCATTAGAGCTAACTCTTCTTTCACCTTGTTGACTATAAAACATAAGAAGGGTTTCACAGTTTTGCAGGGTTATAAAAAGAAAAGAGAAAATAATCATAACTTAGAATGTCAGATGTTTTTGTGGCTGATTATCTTTGTATTTTGTTGTTAGTGTATTTTTAGCAGCAATAACAGGACATGACATCACTGTTCTTTACATGCCACACTTAGGAAACGGTTGTGCTCAAGTCCGCTATCCAGAGAAAGTCACCGATGGGTATAGTCCTGTTTACTATCAAATAAAATTAAATACAAAAAAAAAGCATTAAAAAACAATTGCTAAATAATAAGTTGGCTCTTTAAAGGTTTTCCGTCAGTGAAAATTGACCTGTTGGACACCTCAGCTCAACAGGATACTTAGTTTATGTGTTTTCCTCTGTTTTTATGTTTTCTTGCTGACATGTCGTTGTTAGTCTATTTCTGACTTACTTTATCTGATTTTACTTTGTCCTCATAAACTGCATCAAACCAGATCAAACTATTATTATTTACATATGTTTAGCACAACTACTAAACTACCATAATTTTGATTTTTAGTTAGCCATGCTATGCTAGCTTTGGTGCTTGATAAATTTGGCTCATCAGAAAGATGAACATTTCAAAATAAGGTTTTGATTAATTATTTTAGCTTATATTTTATAATTATTTATAGTTATGCTGTTTGTACCCTAACTTTTATAGTCAAGAACAGAAGCTGCTTATATTAGAGAAAAATTATTAGCATAAACTCACTTTAACAGAACAGATGAGAGCCGCCAATCCAAGACAGCAGAAGTTTCCATAGATGAAGCTGCACAGCGACCAGACCAGATAATCGTTTGGAGGCTCAGTGGGGACGTTCACTACGGTGTGCTGAACTCCTGTGGGACCCTCAGACTGTCCAGGGGACGCTTCATGTCTCCTGTCCTGCAGTGTGATGGTCTCAGCAGGGTAAGGTGTGTAAGCTTCAGTGGTGTCTTCAGAGAGAAGAAGTTAAAAGAACTCTTTGGTGGGGCAATAAAACCACCCGCAAAATCACCGGAGGAACTCCTTCTTCTTAGAATGTGAAATAATTTTTGGTGTATGAAAAGAAAAATAAATTATGGATGATGCAAGTTTAACATTTTACTCAAGGTTGAAGGCTGATTGTGAGTCAGAGTTTTACCTGTCGCTAGCTTGTTTTGTAGGTGCTCATTAGTATTCGTTGCCATCAGCAGATGTTGGCAGATTGTGTAGGTTTCTGATATTCTGTTTAAAATTCATCAGATTGTTCTCATCTGTTTTATTTGGACAGTCAATTGTTTTGAATTAATATCAAAAACAAAGGTATATTGTGTGAGTGTATGCAAATTGGCGGTACTATTTAGAAAATTGCAGGTGATGCAATCAAAATCTGCCGTTTGTCTCAAGGTGTAGTTTTTTCACTTGAAAATTTTGTATAACTGCAGTTGTTCTGCTTCAGCAAGAAAAAGTGTGGTAAATGTTATTTTAAGTTGTACTTTTTTTACAAGTTCAATTAAACTACAGAGTACATTTAGTTCTAAAAATACAGAAAGATAATATATGTTAAGCAATTCAAATATACAGTTGATTAGTCTGGTGTCAACTAAACTAAACATTTTAATCTACTGATTAAACATTTTTTTATCTTTTTTTGTTTTTGTTTTTGCTTTTCAAGAAGATCAAAGTTCTTACTTTAGTTTTATTGTAAGAACTTTACTGATGCAGTTTGGGAATAACTGGCCTTTCACATCCAGCTACAAATATTCCCCTCTGTCAGTTTTTGACAGAGGGGAATGGTTTATTATTATTAGGAAACAAGCTTTTCATTCATCTGAGCTAAAAAAAAAACACTTTACTGGTTTTATATAAGCAAACTTTACAGAAATAAAGTTTTTTTCACTGCCTTAAATAGAGGTGCACCAATTTGTCGGCCAGACGATTTATCTGTGCTAATTTCCTTAATTTTGGGAGATCGGTAATCGGTCGATTTTTACATGTGGAGCCGATCTTATCCACCGATTTTATCAAGCTCAACAAGGGTCTGAAAATCAACTACTTTCCTCTTCTGCTATTCTGTGAGAGGTTTGACTGACAGACTGGCCCACCAGGCCATGTCTGCACATTTACAGTTAACAATAGTCACCCCATTGTTGCCCATTCAACAACTTTATTGCTGTACTGAGCAACATTTCAGACAAAACTATTGGCATCGGCCAAAATCGGAATCGTCAGGGATCGGTCAGAAAACTGCAATCGGTGCAGCCTTAGCCTTACGCCTTTCTTCTGCGACTGTCACAGTTTTGGTTTGGTACCAGAAGAAAAGCAGAAAATCTGGTTAGTAAGCATCAGGTAGCAAATTTATAAATAGCCTTAATAACAACCAAGAAATGGTTTTGGAAATATGAAACTTGGTTAGTAGTTGTAGTAGTAGAAAATACGTACTGATTGACTTCCTACCACAATTAGAAAAATAATGCAAATAAAGACCAGTAGAGATGCCAGAGCTTGTGGCCATGACGTTCAGAATGAGAGGGGTGGAGGCGTAATGTCGGGCTGCATGTTGATCTCCAACCACCGTCTGGCCTCTGGCCTGAAAGCAGCAAAAAACATTCATGCAAAGAAGAAGAAGAAGCCAAGTTTAAGTGAAGAAGTTTGAAATCCTTTTCTGCTTAAGACAATTTTCTATGCAGTCTGGAACCATGTTGAATGTAATTTCATCATTTCTCTTACATCGAATATTAAACATGTTATGGAAGAACAGCTACACTTTACTACTTACACCATCATGTAAATGACAAAGGAGTGTTTTACTTTGATTTATAAGTAGGTAGTCCATCTATCTTTGATTTGCCGATCATAGATTGAGTTTTCTTCACACTGACTTTGGAAATGATTAAACTTAGACACACACTTTTTCAAATTAAAACAATAGGAAGAACAATAGGATGCACAATATCATCGGCATGGTATCGGCTATCGCTATTAGCTGCAAAATTTAATAAGAGACATCGACCATTCCATCAAAATAACTCACCGATGTAAAAGACATTGATTTTATAAGACAAACCAGTGACAACGATGCCTGCAGCTCAGCACAACGTCACTGTTTGTCTTAGAGAGCAGATGTCATAAATAAATTTGACATAAAACATAATTAGGTGAAAGTGTTGCATCATCTTCAGCCTCCTTTTTAGCTTTTGCATTTTTTAGCAGGCTAAATTGACAAAAGATAATGCTGTTTTAATTCCACAATAGAGAAAGATGTATAGTTTCAGTAAGAAGGTATACAGGAAAAAAAAACAATCGGTATTGGTATCAGTTATCAGCCAAATGAGTTTTAGCACATCAGCATATTGGATATCGACCAAAAGTCCAATATTGTGCATCTCTAATAGGAAGCTTAAATGTGTCTTGCTGCATTTTGTTTATTTTTTTAACGATTTTATACAGTCAGTTTTAGGGTATGTTAGAAATGGAAGATATCAAATTGTGACTTAAATTTCTATACTAATTTTCAATAATCCACCCCAGACTCTTCTCTTTGTTTAAGTGATCTAAGTTTGAACAAACCACCTAATCGCCCATCAAAATGTGCAGGGGAAGCCAGTTCTAATGCTTTTTCATGGTTTTCGTTTTCCTTTCCTTCGCCTATAATAAACACAAAGAGAAGTTTGCGATACCAGAGTGGAAATTTTACCACTGTGGTGCTGCACCACAACTGCTTTAATTTTTAGTTGTTCTGCAAAACATGGAGGTCAAAGTTTTTGAAATTGTTTCTGCTTGCAATAGACAATTTAGGTCAAATTGAGATTTAATTTTGAAAAAACTAAAAATTTCAAATGTGCATGTGCAAAAAATAATTTCTCTTTAAAGGCAAAAATGGAGAATGAGGATGAACTTCTGGAAATACAATAGAGAATAAAACTACAACCAATCTGGTAAATATTCCTGGAAGACCAACAGGAAGTCGAGCTTAATTGCAACTTGGAATAAAAACTTTACATGAATTTTACAGATTTCTCACAAATAAAAGTCTGAAAGTGTTTGTTTACTTGGTTTGCCTCACAAAACCCAGAACAGCTATTTCCATTCAGAAGTCATGGCCATCCATAGGAACTAACAGCTCAGGGATGTAATAACGCCGTGGAGAAGTTTAGAGTCGAGAGAATCTGTTGCCATGACAACTGCGAGCTTAGCACTCCACAAATCTGGCCTTTCTGGAAGAGAGGAAATCCGTCTTTGACAGAAAGCAGTAAAACTTTGAATCCAGTTATAAAGTTGATCTTTAAAGAAGATTCAATAAAAAGTTTTACGCTGCTTAAGCTACAAAACTGGAAATATGAGGATGACAGAGCAGCCAAGATGGCAACCTGCACTGGTGTGCTGTATAATTTCACAATGGGAACAATTGATGTCTGCTCATTTTCTCATGACTATTAAGTTCATCACCACATAAAATCCATCCATCCATCCATCCATCCATCCATCCATCCATCCATCCATCCATCCATCCATCCATCCATCCATCCATTTTCTTTACACCTTTGTCCCTTAGTGGGGTCAGGAGGGTTGCTGGTGCCTCTCCAGCTAACGTTCCGGGCGAGAGGCGGGGTCACCCTGGTCAGGTTGCCAGTCTGTCGCAGACCACATAAAATAAATGTCATAATTCCAGTTCTCACAACGATTTCTTTTTTTCTTTTTCTTTTTTTAATCAGTACTATCTCAGTTTTTCACAATATTTTTATGTATAAATTAAAATTGGAGACTCATCACACACACATAAATGAACAGACATTTCTGTGGTTTAGAGAGCACAGCGTTGGATGTTTTTATTATCGTGAAAAAAGCTTTTTATTCATGTGAGCAAGACACATTTTGCTGTTTGGTTGATAAGCAAACTTTACAGAAATGAAGCTCTTCTTCACCGCTTTAGGCTTTACTAGCAGTATTACTGTAACAGTTTAATTTTGATATCAGAGAAAAACCAGTACAAACAAGCCATGGCGTTGGATAAATCCTCAAACATTATGAAAGATGGTTAATTGGCGCCCCAGGGTCTTCTCTGACTTGTATATTGCGCCACTTTCACAGCCGCAACAATCTGCACAACGATGATGATAAAGAGAATCAGAGAGGTCAGGCTCACGGCCACGATGTTGAAAATACGAGCGCAGGAGCCGTGACGTTTGGCTCCGTCCTGATCTCCAACCACCTTCCGGTCTCTGGCCTGAAATCAACAAATAAATAAATACATTATTTTAATAACCAGATCCTTCCGGTTATTATTATTATTATTTTTAATCTATTTATTTTGAACATGATAGAAGTATAAAATCACACACACAAACGAGGAATGCAAAAGACACACATTTTTGTACCACAATAATCTTAACTTGCTTGAAAAGCAGTAGGAGGAAGTAAAAAAACTCATAAACTCGAACTCCTTAAACTCACCTTTTTTTCAGATGGACCCTCATTATTAAATAAAAAAATAACAAACAGGTTAATTAGTTTTCCATTTTATCTGGGTTTTATATGTTTAAATATATACATCCATACACACACTCATAAGCTTCAGCCTCAATTTACATAAACACATTAGTGCTATCTCTCTCCCATATTTCTATATCTTGTGAAAATGATTGAGGAACTATAAGATTCACTATTTTAGAGTAAAAAAAAATTAAATTATTATGTAAAGTGTAACTTTAGTAATATATTTAATTAGAATTTAAATACGCAAGAAAAAAATACTTTTAGAAAGTGTACCAAATATAAATGTTTAAAAAGATTATTAGAAGCATGTTTTTAAAAATGTATTTATTTTACACTTTTAGTAATAAGTATATCCACTTGATGACATACTAAAATGTACTTCAGAAGAATACAGTATATTTAAAATATACTGACGTATACTAAAGTATGCTATGTTTTCACCATCGAAATCACAGTTAATGACGTAAATGGCATCCTGAAGAAGCTCATTTAAAATGGAAATGTTTTTTAAGAACAGTATCTGTGTTGCTGTTTTCTAATAAAGTAATAATATTTTTTTTTAAATAATTTTTATCATTACCACAGTGATTGTTCTAATGATAAAAATTATCATTACTACATTATGCACAAAATATCACAATAAAATTCTGAGTCTGTATGATTTTTGAATTTTGTGAAATAAAGGATTCAGTTATTAATCTTTCAGTGATCCAGTCTAGAGTTGCATGATTACTTGTGGTTAGTTTCATAATTATTAATCATAATTATAGTTTGAATGAACCTCGTTTGTAAAAGTCTTTTACCAAAATGCCCATCAGAAGCCAGTCTCCACCTCTATTCTTGATTCGTGTCTTTCTTTCCCTTTCCTTTGATAATCACGAGCCAAAGTTGTTCATATTAAAGACTAAATACGGGGAAACTATTTGCACAAACTCACCTTGACAGAATAAATGAGAGCCGCCAATCCAAGACAGCAGAAGTTTCCGTAGACGAAGCTGCAGAGCGACCAGACCAGATAATCTTTTGGGGGCTCCGGGGGGACGGTCACTACGAAGTGCTGAACTCCTGTGGGGCCCCCATGCTGTCCAGGGGACGCTTCGTTGCAGTAACCAGGATGCATGGCTCTCTGCTCAGCTGCAGGTGGAAGAGGAATCTGAACGGTCCGTTGAAGAACTTGGTTCCCTATACAGTGTGGTTTTCCTGTTTTATGATGGAGGTGGCATAACAGGAAATTGTACCAGTGGGACCCCCCCCTCTCCCCCACCCACCATCTTATTTTCACTTTCTTTGCAGAGCTTAGAGGTTCCAACTTTTTACATCTATGCATCACGCTTGTGCTTGCAAAAGAGAGCGAAATGTACTTTCTCTCTCCAAAAATCACCTATTTGCCAAATAATTCAAGGAGTTCTTTTTAAAAGTAAGTAATTAAAAGCAGAAGGAGGATGGACTTTATTAAACAAAACTGATTTAAGTCAGATAAAGCAGAAAGCAGTGCTTATTTGAAACTTTGAATGATAAAATTACAAATAGAAATCAAAAAAGTGTGGCTTGCATAAATATTCAAGCCTTTTTACTCTCTACCCCCTCTCAATAAAAATCCAGAACAATCATTTGCATTCACATAACAGCTTCTTAACTTTAAGCATCCATCCAGCTGCTCTGTGAAGACTCAGAGGTTTGTACCAGAACGTTAGAGAACACAAGAAAAAGGATTCAGACCAAAGAACTCAGCAGTCAGGGCAGGGATTAATAGATAACAATAGATATAGATAAATTTAAAGTTGGAAAACATAATCCAATTTCAGAAAACTCTATTCAATCTAACAATGGAAGAAGATAGCAAAACTGCACACTTAAAAAAACATGGCCTCCATTTTCTGCTGGCTGGTCTTGGTGCTGTTTTTTTGTACTTGAGAGGTTCACCACAGGCTGGAGTAAAGAAACAACACTTTATAGAGAAGACGATCTGCACAGATAAAGCAGCAAATAGCCACATTATGTCCACAGCTAGGGATTAAGGTCATTATTTCGTTTATCTTAAGACGAGACAAGATAAAATAATTTATTAGTAAACTAATACAAATAAATGGACTGAACTTCACAAAGTGCCGTTCTACAAAGTATTTCCACTTCAAAGTCAGAAGTGCAGACCCAAACGATACCAGCGCTATATTTCCCAGACAAATAATTCAGTTCTATACAAAAATCAAGTAATTATGTCACCTTCAGTTGACATGAAAATGCTTTCTATATCAACAATAAATTTCCCTTTGCGTTTCTGAACACCTTGAAATTGGCTTCCTGTCTCTTTAAGAACCACCTGCCGTTTCTGTCATTTCACAGCAATGCTACATGCCGTTTACAACATGTCTTAGGCGCATTGGATTTTGTTGTAATAAATTTACCAAATCAAAAAAAAAAAAAACATTACACATAATACAAAATTGGTTCTGGAAAATGGCCACTCAGAATACAATAGAACCTCAGTTGAATGATCTCGCGTCAGACCCAGAAAGTATGTTTTTTAAAGAACCGGATCAAGTTAAGAGGATCTTACACAACGTTTCTAGATATCTTCCAGTCATCCTCATATACACACACATCCACAGGTGACCTTTAAACGTCCTATCTGAGGTGCTGCTCATTTTCTCATGACTGTTCACTGAATTCAGAATCAAAATGTCAGCTTTCTCATCCGGTTACAATGGTTTCTGTCTTTATTATCCCCAATTTGTCAGTCTGTGACACAATATTTTAACATTTCAAAATTAAATTGGAGACTCGGCACACAAAAATGAAAGGAGATCTCTGTGTTTTAAAGAATGTGGTGTTTTTTATTAATATAGTGAAACAAGCTTTCCATTCATCGCAGCTAGAACATGGTTATGCAGATTGCACATAAGCAAACTTTACACAATGGAAGTTCTTCTTTACAGCCTTAAACCTTAATACTACTGCTACTACTGTCACGGTTTCAGTTTGATACCAGAGCAAAAACAGAAAAGCTAGTTAGCGAGAAGTCAAAGCAAGCAAAACAATGATTGTAAGTACGGCGGCTACAGATGTCAGGACGGTCGCCACGATGTTGATGACCCGAGCGGTGGAGCCGTAATGTCTGGCTCCCTCCAGATCTCCGACCACCTTGCGGTCTCTGGCCTGAAATCAGCAAAGATATTTCTGTTAAATGAGAACAGAAAGTCAGTAAAACAGAAAGTGTCGTAGTTTTGTGTTTTATTGAGTTCTCCTTTCTTCTCTTTACTTCTCATTTTATCTCACGTCTGTGATTTTTTATATTGCGTTGGTCGTGTCCTTCTCATGCTGAGTTGCGCTGCACCTGTTTATTGTTCTCTAGTTTCTGTGGGTTTGTGATTCTAACATTCATTTCATTTTCTACCTACACAGCTACTCTCACTCAGGTTCAACGGCCTCCCACCACTCTGGTCCATTCTGACTCTTTCTATTGTCTGTTCACCTCCCAGCTCTGTTTCTGTTTGAACGATTAATTTTTGTCATGGATTCTGACTCCTGCCTTGCCTGGATCTGATTCGAGTTCCTGCAGAGAAAGGTAGTTCAACAAAGTATGGGGAAAGTTTACAGACAGGGCTTTATTCTTGCAGAGTTTAGAAAACACTACAGCTCCTCCCCCAGTGCTTTATCGTAAGGTTTCTGAGAAATCTGCACTTTCAGCAGAAAAACAAGTTGGTTGCGTGTTTGCTGACTGGCAGAGTGTGCAGAGTCTCATGCAAACATCAGCAGATAAAATAATATTGGCACATTTCTGAAAACCACAGGTCTCAAATGTCAAAGAACTACGGTTTTGGTGTTTTATTTAGTTACGATGATAGAGTACAGCAGTGGTTTAGAAAAGTTGGTTCAACAAAATTTTCTGTTAAATGAGAACAAAAACTGAGTAAAATAGAAAGTGTCTTAGTTTTGTGTGGAGGTTTTCCCTCCACGGTTAATGAAGACCTCTCTGCTTTATCCCACTGGAAAAAACTTTACCAGCGTTTGCTTTTTGTTAGAGCATAGTGAATGTGGCTGTATATAGATTAGTGATTGTGGTTCAAATGATTGTGGAGTTGTGGTTTGAATCCGTGTGAAAGTAAAACACACTTAATAATTCGTTTGTTTCTGTTGTTTAGCTCATTTAAAATGTCGTAAAGCAGGGGTCCCCAAACTACGGCCCTTGGTCCGGCCCCCTGAACAATTCCAGAGGGCATTCAGTGTTTTTTTTTTCATATATATGTGGATTTTTCTTCAACCACCAGGGGGGCTCTTGAACAGATATGAAACTTAGTTTCCCTCAATGAAATATATACTAGTCAGTACCAGTCACCGTTTCACTCACGGTTTTTTTCCATTTGCATTCTGGGTAAAAATCTATCTACAAACGCAAATATGTCGGCAGTAATCCAGCCCCCCGGTCCACAGTTTCACTCCCCCCCCCAAACAAAACTAAGACCCGCCCCCGACCAGAAAAGGGAACAGTTATGTGGCCCTCGCAGGAAAAAGTTTGGGGACCCCTGCCGTAAAGTTTCAGTGTTAAAGGTTCATGAGAATTTAGGGTTTATTCATCTTTAAGAATAGGCTCTTGTATTTTTAAGTCAAAAACGGTCTCAAAGCAATTTTATTGTTTATCCAAATAACTTCTGGGGCAATTTATTAAACAGTAAAATCTGTTAGAGTGACAGACCCACAGTAGCTCTGACTAGGGCTGCAGTTTGAAATAAAACCTTCACTGTTCATCAGCATATTGGAGACGACCACCTGTCATAGATTATAACTCCAAACTGCTTCTTTAACTGGTGATAAATATCACCAAGCTTTAAAAACTGACCTTTACGGAGAAGATGAGGGCCGCCAGTCCCAGGCAGAGCGGATTCCCATACATGAAGCAAGCGAGAGACCAGATGATGTCATCGCTGGGCTGCACAGCTGGGATGTTCACGGCGCTCTGATGGACCATCATGGGAGGCTGAGCGTGGACTTCAGGACCAAAATACTGCGGCAAAGTAACAACCACAGGCTGGTGACCCTCATCTGGTGAAGCTGTGGCCATTCCTGTAGCATCAGCAGCTGTGCAGGTTCTGGAGAACTGGAGCGGTTTGAACCTTTTAAGAGCTTAAGTTATTATGACTCTTTCTTCCTCATTTCTCAACTGTAGATTACCTGGACAGGGTCCTGTTGTCTTTTAAGAGGAAGATGACACATATACACATTGTCTTTTTAAGACAATGTTTTATTTTTATTTTTTTTACATATTTCTTAAAACTGACTATGTTGCAACAGTAAAATATGAAACAGGTAATCTGGTCAGAAACAACCAATCAGAACCAGGAGGAAGGTCTTAGCGCTGCCAGTCATGCTTGCGTACGCACTACTAAATTTACGAATGGCAGAGAAACAACTTACCGCTACAGAAAAACAGTTTATCCACCATCTTCGGTGGACATGCACTCTAGACTGAGCTCTGTTGTGCTGAGGGCAAAGGGGAGAGCATGAGCAGCGCGTACAAGAACATGATGGACAGCACTAAGTCTTTCTCCCTGACTCTGACTGGTTGTTTCTGACAGAGATATGCATTTGTTCAGATTGCAAAAGGAACCTGATTTTTTTCCGGATTGTCTCATGTTAAACTGTCACAAGATATAAGTAGAAACATGCTGTAGTTTTAAATTACTGGAATTCTACATGCACTTAAAGGAGCACAAGAATATTTTAGCCAACTCTCACAATATAAGGCATCTACATAAGCAGAAGAAAATATTCAGCCCTCCAGCATTTTGAATGATTTTATTATTTGAAAACAGATTAATAAATTTGTATATTAACATTCAACATTGAGGGATTCAGTCAAGTCTGAGTTAAACAACCCAGACGTTAATAATGTCCTTTACCAAGCGATCAGTCGCTTTGCGGTAAGAGACAGGCACAGAGATCAGCATCGTTTCAAACAGACATACTTTCAAAATTAGCTTAGTTAAACATCTTCAAGTTTTACAACTTTAGAGAAAAGTTTATTGTTGGTTAACTGAATCAAACTGAAACAGCAACAAGGCATCGATGTATTAAAGGTAATTTAATAAAACTGCAGCCTAATCTCAACAGTATTACCTTATAGCATTCAATGCAATAAAATGAATTTTTGATGGTTACCTGACCTGATATTTAATAAAGTAAGGATTAACTGTTTGCAATGGATCAAAGCCAAGCTTAAGCACTACTGCGACAGTAATTAGCACGTTGAGGCTGATCCAATCAGTCGGCGGTCATGTGAGCAGATCTGCTGATCACATCTTGGAGGACGCGGCGATGGCGGCGGCTCCTGGACGGCTGTAGACACGGACGTTTGTGTTCTGGGAACAGGAAGTGAGCTCGTTAGAAATCTGCTCGTTTTCTATTAACTGAACTTTTTTACTCTGCGATAACGAACCGGCCGTTTGGTTACCTTCTTGGCTTCGGCGTTGTACTTGTCGAGTAAAGTCTGAACCCGGTTTCCGTAGTCTGGATGGACGGCCTTCAGGTTTTCCACCTGCAGGAAGAATGTTGAATAAATGCATCCATGTTCATGTTTCCTGTTTTTAAAGTGATGCACACAAAAAATGAGACTAGCACAAAGTCATAAGGTTGTGCAAAGTTACAACTCTGGCAGCAAATTTACAAAAGGTGCAAACAGGGATTAGTTTTTTTTCCATAACACAGGAAACCAGAGCAGTATATGTGGCTGCTGTGACATCAATGAATGACATCACTCCATCACCTTTCATTTCTCATACAAGTGTTTAAAAATTAACTTTGCGGTGGCGAGTCACACCGGTGGAGACAAACATGAAAAAGACGCTCAGGAAAACAAATGAGAAAAATAAATGTCATTTAAGGTTCCCACTTTCAGAAGGATTTATTCTAAACTGCGTAGCATCTGAAGGTTAATTATCCTGACTTAAAATAAACCAAATATTGGAGAACAGTAAGCCAAAATTCAGTGTTTCAGACAAGTGGACAAGTGTATATATTAAAAAAAAGAGGATATTGTAAACAGAAATGTGAGAATTCATTTCAATTCACTCAGTGATTGGTTGGAGCTCATTTAACATGAATTACTGCATCGGTGAGGCGTGGCACGGAGGCCGTCAGCCGAGGGGAAACTGAAACAAGGTTTTGAAAGCGTCCAATGTTGGCGTTCCTCATCTTTGGTGTTCAACTCAGGCCACGACCTGGTGCATTACATAACATTTACACGTTAAAAATGCTGGGTTTTAACGGTTGTTATGTAACATTCTCAATTGTTTTTGACACCGAATGTCAGGATTTCATCATCTATAAAACATAATTATCAACATTTATAAGACATAATAGCTCAAATCTTAAAAAGTGAAAGATTTGGATTCATTTTTGCATAATGTGGTTGAATTACTAAAACAACATTTTAAATGTCCTAGTCAAAACCTTAGAGAACTTGATTCTCTAAGCAGGAAACAAAAAAAAACAAAAAAAAAAAAAAAAACAGATGTGTTGCTTTAAATGTCGGGCTCTGTTCATCACCATTCTTTCTTGTTTACAAATGTTTTCCCCATCTGTTTCCATAGCAACCAGATAATCACAAAGCAGGCCTTTGCACATGCTAGTTTCATGCAGCAACATCCTGTGGTTTGAAAAGAGAAACAATCTTTGTACTTCATTGAAATGCAGCGCAGCGACTCGTTTGCTCCACACTGCGAGTTCTGACCTGAACTCACCATTCGTTTCTGGATGAAGAGCTGGGCTCCCTTCAGGGCCCTGGCAACGTTCTGGCACAGCCGCTGGCGCTCGTCCTCGTTCAGCACCTGGGTATAGAAGGCCCGGACCTGCAGCCGGCCGCACACGGACCCGGTCAGAACCAGACACAGTAAACGCAGTCCTATAGCTTCAGATGAAACTTATCTTGGTAACACTCATAATGTCATGAACATGAAGGAGTCGTCATGAGGTAAATAATGACACTTTTTTTTTTGTTTTGTTTTTTAAGGTTTGTTGGCCTTTATTTGAAAGTAGTTTGACAGGAAACAGGGTAATGAGAGAGAGGGAAGACATGCGGCATGTCGTCAGGCCGGGAATCGAACCTGCGACCACCGGCACGAGGACCAAGGCCTCAATACGTGGGTCGTGCTTTGCTCCTGCGGCACCACAGCACCCCAAACAAAGACACTTTTAATGTAAAGTTGCTTTAAAAGTCCATTAAAAGTGTCATGACATCATAGACATTCATGAAGACTCTTTCATGTTCATGACGTCATTCTTACCTTCAAATAAAGTGTTTGCCACATTTTTTGTTTAATTTCAATTGATATGTTGGTGAAGTCTCCCTTTTAGAAGCTTATGGATATGTTGTGTCCAACATGCTGGGAAAAACCCGTCTACATGCCGAGTTGTATTTGTAGAGATGGAGTGAGTTGTTGATGAGAAAAGCTGATTTGGTCTAATTGTCAAGTTTCCGTTGCGCTCCAGTTTCAAGTTACACCGCCGCACCAAATGTACATGAAGGACGGTGGAGGAGCGGACATTTTTAGATGCATGAGAACTCTATTGTACTCTGACAGTGATTCCACGTAGCTGTTTATTGTTTTACTGGTATGGGCTTGGAAGGTTATATTTAGATCATTTTCTGCGTTGAATTCAACAGGCTGAAAACGTCGACTTCCTGTGAGCGACTGGCAAACAGCCACACAGAGGCTATTAGAGGCGGCGGGGTCATCGTCACCTGCGTCACGTTGTCTTCGTCTTCGCTGTTGTAACGGGTGACGTCAGGCGAAACGCTGAACCTGGACTCCACAAAGCGAGGCTGGGTCTGCGGGGCGCTGAAGCTGTTGGGGTAGTAGTTTGGAGCGCCACCTGGAGGTCAGATGGAGCAAGAACTGGTTGAGCTTAAGGGGGAGATTTTTAAAAATTATATCGGATTAAGCATATAAACATCAGGAGAGACAAAGACAGAAGAACGAGTGAAGAAATTCACATCAGTTGATTAATCATCAACACAAACATTTTACCAGTTTTAGCCACATGTGTAAATATAAATATTTATGTGCAAATATACATAAACTTGTCCAATTCTGGTCACTTTAAAGTCGTAGTGTCCATCATTACATTTTAAACCAAAGGTTTTTTTTCCCCTCCAGGCTGGCACTTGAACTAACCAAAGAGTATTTTTTTATATTTGATAATTGTAAATACATAAGAGACCAAATTTATTTATTTGTATTTATTCTTGCTATTCATACATTTAATTCTTACAGCTGTCATAAAACTGAAAATTTAGCGCCACGATTTCTGGGAGCAAACTGACCTTGGTTAGAAAATGACCACAGTTTAGTTTTAAGGTGTTACAAATCTGCAAAATGTAGAATTACAGCTTTAATTTACCTCACTAATAGTGAACCACACAGCATAAATGTATTAATAATAATAACACAGAGTTTCTGCAAGTTTTACCAATTCAAATGTAAATATCATTAAGACTATAAGAATGAAATTTAATACCTGCATCTCCATAAAAACATACAAACTTTGCCCAGCCAACTGGCGATAAATTAGCATTTACCCAGGATGCAAAAAAGCTAGCTAGCTATTTAGCGGTGGTATGCTAGCAGTGGGTGACAGAACCCTCAAAGTTTTGCCTGACAGAAATTTCCAGCAGTAAAAAAAAAAAAAAAAAGTAAAATATATATGTAATCTATGGGATTAACAGTCCTGTCAAAATACAAGTTAAGACCTGTGATTAACAGATTAAAGGCCAACTTACTTACTTTTAAAAATGTTTTCAAGACATTTTAAGGTCTTAATTTTAGACATGAATTTCAGACGTAAAGACATTTTAAGGCGGAGCAGCAGGTGAACGACTCACCCTGGTTGTCAGACATGCACATGGGGCCGTCTCGTTGGTAGTTGGCCACGCGGGCCCTGAAGGGACAGTTGACCGGGATCTGCAGGTAGTTGGCTCCCAGCCGATGGCGATGCGTGTCTGGGTAGGAGAAGAGCCGACCCTACGCCGAGGCAGACCAGGTTAACCTCTGGTGAATACCAACACCATCTCCTCAGCCGATTTACTGCGTCACCTGCAGCATCTTGTCGGGGCT